AAGCCTCTTTTTAAAGGCACACAAAGGAGGAGGCTGCTGCTTCTGCAGAGAGTGATTTTTGATCCAATAGACGATCACAACAAAGGGGAAGCATCCAGTGTCACAGCCGTTCAGACCTGTGAGGGATTCATGGGACTGAATAAAGCGCCATAATATGAATAAAGAGATACATACCACTCACAGACACACAAACTGCTCACAGACACACATACTGCTCACAGAAACACATACTGCTCACAGACAGTGATGGGCAGTATTTCAGTTTAATGTACACTGCTCAAGAAAATTAAAGGAACACTTTTTAATCAGAGTATAGCATCAAGTCTTAAACTTTTGGGATATTTATCTGGTCATTTAAGGTGCAGAGGGGATTGTTAATCAGTTTCAGCTGCTTTGGTGTTAATGAAATTAACAACAGGTGCACTAGAGGGGCAACAATGAAACGACCCCCAAAACAGGAATGGTTTAACAGGTGAAGGCCTCTTACATGTTTCCCTCCTCATCTTTTCTGACCGTTTTTCCATTAGTTTTGCATTTGGCTACTGTCAGTGTCACTACTGGTAGCATGAAGCGATGCCTGGACCCTACAGAGGTTGCACAGGTAGTCCAACTCCTCCAGGATGGTGCATCAATATGTGCCATTGCCAGAAGGTTTGCTGTGTCTCCCAGCACAGTCTCAAGGGCATGGAGGACATTCCAGGAGACCAGCAGCTACCGTAGCAGAGTTGGATAGGGCCATAGAAGGTCCTTAACCTATCAGCAGGACCGGTATCTGCTCCTTTGTGTAAGAAGGAACAGTATGAGCACTGCCAGAGTCCTACAAAATGACCTCCAGCAGGTTTGGACCCATTATCAGACCCTATGTTGGTGCAGTGGGTCCTGGGTTCCTCCTGGTGCATGACAATGCCCGGCCTCATGTGGCGAGAGTATGCAGGCAGTTCCTGGAGGATAAAGGAATTGATACCACTGACTTGCCCCTATGCTCACCTGACCTAAATCCAATAGAACACCTCTGGGACATTATATTTCGGTCCATCCGACGCCTCCAGGCTGCATCTCAGACTGTCCAGGAGCTCAGTGATGCCCTGGTCCAGATCTGGGAGGAGATCCCCCAGGACACCATCCGTCGTCTCATTAGGAGGATGCCCTGACATTGTCAGGCATGCGTACAAGCACGCGGGGGCCATACAAACTACTGAGTACGATTTTGAGTTGCTGCAATGAAATTTCTGCAAAATGGACCAGCCTGCTGCATCATTTTTTCACTTTGATTTTCGGGGTGTCTTTGAATTCAGCCCTCTGTAGGTTGAGTATTTTCATTTCCATCAAACAATGTGGCATCCTTTCATTCCTAACACATTACCCAATCCATATCAGTGTAGATATCCAGCAGGATTTTTTCCCATTGAGATCTGAAGTGTTCCAATAATTTTTTTTGAGCAGTGTATTTAAAATATGCATTTCATTACTTTTGAGTATTTTGTAATTTATATTTTGATGGATGGAAAAAAAATTGATGTAATTTGTAAGAAAATACTGTACTTTGAGAGATTGTAGTTTATGCATTTAAAATATTTAAAATACTTAATAAAATGTCATTTTATTTATTACTTTCTGTCATTTTAAGAACCTTCATCACCTGCTTTACAGACATAAATCTCCTATCACCTTCTTCGGCTAGATGCAAGTAAATCACGTGACCCTGGACCGATCAATTCTACAGGTGACATTGGCGCCAACTTGCCAACAAATTTCACTTTGCCTCAGACAGGGGGCGCCGGCAGTGATTATTGCCTAGGTACTAGTGTGACCCATCCTGTTGGGCCCAGCTTGCTAGTTGTGAACTTTGTTTTCCCAAGACCAATAATCCAAGTAAAGTAGCTGCTTTGGTGTTTTGTGCAAACTGCTTTAAGGTAAAGTACATAGTAAAATATACTATGAGATATTGCTCACTGATATGTCAGTATAGGACAGTATAGACGAAATTAGCAGTGCTGTGCTTTAGAACTTGTGGATTAACTTGCTAGCAGCATCTAGCTTATTTCAACAGACATGCTCAGGCAGTGGCATCTTGCTGTTTGCCATATATGGAAGCTTCCATCCATCCAATTTTTTATAGCTGCTTGTCTTATTCAGGGTTGGGGGGACAGAGCCTACAGGCATTAGGCAGGGAGTAACCCAGGATGGGGCACCAACCCATTGCAGGACACACTCACACATGACTTGTACAGTGGGGGGAAAACCCAAAGTACTCAGAGGAAACCCCACGATGACACAGGGAGAACACACAAACTCCACACACAGAACCACTGGGAGAGACTTGAGGTTCCTGAGGTGTGAGGCTACAATGCTAACCGCTGCACCACCGTGCCACCACCTTCATTAGTGATAAATCAGGCTAGCTACTTTTGTTACTAAGGACAAAGTTTCTAACAGCTAAACTAATAATAATAATTTTAAGAAAGCATTGGTGTGCCTCACCAGCACCCCTGTCAGCCACTTCCACTAATTCTGTGGGAAACACTAGGTGTGAAGCAAGGGTGTAATGGTAATGAAACCGAGTCCACAACCGCAATATGAATGTTCACAATCTCATATTGTGGTTCCGTCTTCCGGAAACGCTACGTCCCCCCCAACCTCCACCCAGTGCCACAGGTGCAGCCTGTCGAGTTCTCATTACGCTGTGATGGGACAGATGATCACGAGATTTCGAAGCGCCTCATCAAAGTGAAACCCAGTGACTTGCTGTGACGAGCTGGCAGTCAGAGCTTTGTTTAATTTATGAAATACCATGTGACCGATGACGTCAGAGGTTTACCTTTATAAAAGTGACTTGCTCTTTGTGGAGTAAACTGTCCACAAAGAGTAGCCACCTGTAGCAGCGCCCAGGGAGCTGGGAGTTAAGGGCCTTGCTCAAGGACCAGCAGATGTACTGAGGCTGGGTTTGAACCAGCGACCGACTGATTACAGGCACAGCCCACAGAGCCACACGCTGTGCCATCCAGCCTGCCCTCCTTGAATCCTCCCTAATGACTCCATGGAAACATCTATTCCTTATTACATTTTGATATATCAATTTGACAAGATACTTCTATTTCATTTTTCCTTTTTATAATCTTTGTGCAAATTTCCAATGAAGCATGTAACGATGTTGATATAAAAAGGTAAATGGAAAAGATCAGGCAGCGCTGTGAAATGTTGTGCAGTGCAAGCATGTGTGAAACTTTGTGTGTGTGTGTGTGTGCCGCCACAGATCTGGCAGTGACAGTCAGGGTCCTTCCACAGAGTTTCTGCTTACATCTGTACCATGTATAAGAATATGTTTTTGCTTCTTTTGTGTTGCAATAGATTTGACACAATAGATGCTTATCTATTGTCACATGATGTATATTGTATCACAGCCCTACACACATCAGTGCTATTGTTGAACTGTGTGGCTGAGAGCTTTTTCTAATCAGCATTAATCATTGTAGCTGGTTAATTAGGTTTACATAACTTCAGTTAACACAATGGAATATGATATTTCTGAAGTTATTATAAACTAGCATTCCATGTTTTGATTGTTTAGACTGAAAAATACTATTATGACTGAACTTGTGTATTTAACAAAATAGGTAAAGTGGGTAAACTTAATGCGGTATTATAGCCTAGTTGCATCAGAGACTACAAGTTGGAGTACCTTTTAATACTTTAAGTATATTTACGAGCAAGTACTTACTTTTGATGAAATGGTTAGGCTAATGGGGAAGTTCAGCTTTCTCTAGAGTACAAATGCCTGTATATTTCTACTTTTTATTTAACTAAACTGAGTACTTCCTCCATCACTGCTGCCCACAGACACAGGAACTGCTCACAGACGCACATACTCCACAGACATGCTGTCGTGTCATCGTTACAGCAATCCCCAGTACTCAGTGTCTTGCAATCTTGTTGGTTCTCCTCGTGTTACATGGGTTTCCTCCCACAGTCTAAAGACACACATGCAGTTAACTGTGTGAGTGTATGGATGTGCCCTGCGATGGACTGGCATCCCATCCATGCTGTACCCAGGCCTTGTGCCCTGGGATGGGCTCCAGCGTTGCTGGACTTCAGTGGCACTTCTGTTATCAGTGCGGCAAAGCTAGATATTTATTGGACAAATGCTTCAAAACGCCATTTCCAAGGAAGCTCAGCGTCTCTCCGTGTAAATAGGGCAGTGGGAAGGCCACGACGCCGGGCTGCTGCATGATGACTGGAGGGACCGTCAAAGTGGCTGCAGCTCTTTTTGACTGACAGTGTTTTGAAATGATTCTTTGCCATTGGAGCATTTCATGTTCCTTTTTCCAGACTTTTGGCAAGTGAAAGTGAAGTCTTTTCATTTTTTTTTTGGGATTTTTCATTTGTACATATACTACTGTAAATAAAACCATGAATGTGTGGTTGGGGGATGGGGACTAGCCAGCTTCCCTGTTTGAAAGACCAGCAGCTGCCACTGGTGAGGCATCAGGACCTGGCCGTGTTTATTGGGGGGGAGAGGGGGAATGAGAGGGGGAATGCTGAACCATTCAGCTGTCTCAGCCTCTCCGGAGACCTGGAGGGACTGATGGATGGATGATGCCGCAGAGGGCCGGCCAGCCAAGCCATGCATCATCAAACTAGCAGCCGTGCTACAGCCACCTGCCGCCTAGTCAAGTATAAATGAAAAATAACATTAATAGGTAGACAGCAGTGAACAAAGGAATGAGCCTCCATATGCACAGCCCTTAGCATTGCTGCTGTTGATTACAGAGCTTCTGGAAAGTTTTTGAAGCCTTAAGAATTCTCAGAATTTTTGAATGTTTGACCGAAAATGCAATCAGACCATAAGGTTTGAAAAATATTGAACCAAATAAAATAAAACATGAGGGATGTTATACTTCTTCATTCATTGATTGATTAAAATGATCACGTTATAAATGTCATTGCCAGAAAAGCATTTAAACTTCTGGGATTATGCATTCAGTTAAGGGGATAATTTGAGCGACAGGAAAAAAAAAAAAACTTTAATTAGAACATTCCAGGAGCAAAGTACAATTTTAATGCAACGGTACAAAAAAACCAAACATATCCTTGCCCTGACTATACAGTGCTGTGCATTTATTCAATGTTTTGCATCTAAACGGGGGGTGTGCAGTTAGACACACTGGCATGTCGAAAATGTTTAGTGTGCAATTCTGAGGGCCACTGTCTGCATGTATGTGCCCAGTGATGGACTGGTAGCTTACACAGGGTGTACCCCATGGAGCCTGGCACAACCAGGTAAACCTCATACCAACTATTAAAATGCCTGAACAAGAAGTGGTGTGCATGTTCACTCAGGGGATTGTATTAATAATATAATGCAGTGTCTTCTTACCCCCACTAGGGGGTGACAGAGAGCACACACTACGTTCTGGTACCTGCATCTCCCCAATGTGTCAGCTTCCTTCTTCAGGCCAAAACCACTGCATTTTGGGGTCTGTTCCACTATTCTAGTTACTATTCTGATAAATCCCCCACTCTATTATTCAACTCGTTTCAAATCAATATGTTCAGCACCCCAGAGGAACTGACCCCTAGAACGTCCATCTTAGAACGGAACACGATGCTGCACTTTCTATACAGAGCATTTTTGTAAACGGAAATAAGACACAAAAACAAACAACTAAAGGAAAATAAATACTGCTTCCAAAACTAACTGGAAGAATTAAGACAAATACATGTTTAAAATAACTAATAAAAACACACCAAATGTGAAAACTAAATTGGATTTCAAATGAAAATATAAAAATAGAAGCTTAATTTAAAAAATCAAAAGCGTAATACCACTGCATCTGTAGGAACTGCACTGATCTGTGCTCCCAGATTAATCCTCCAGGGGCTGTGAGAGAGCACCTGAATGGTGGGAGAAACAGGTTGTGATCATGTCCTCCCTAAAGAGGAACAGGTGAACATCTGATTGATTTCCTCCCGGCTGATCCCATGATGCAATGGCTCTGGTCCAGGTTCTCCAGGCAGTGGTACAGAGAACTTCTTAGCAATATTGTGCAAAACACAGCAGGCATGAATGACTTCTGCTGTTTTGTGAGAAACATCCTTCTGAATGTGTCCTAAATTCTCCAGGCATTGAAATCGCATCTTCAAAGCACCAAAGGTTTTCTGAATAATGCTCTGGATCTTGAAGTGTGATTCATCGTAATGCACTGATGCTGGATTACTGGCACGGCTCAGGGGAGGCAGGACATGCTTACTCAAAGAGTAACAGTTGGCACCTTTCAGAAAAAGACATTTAAGACAGATTTAAATCCAAGACATAAGATCATAAGAATACCAATATGCGTCACCTAAATAGCAATTTCCAAGAAGTATATACACCAAATAAACTTTATTTGCTTTGACTTCTTATTCCTCATCTGAAAACATCTCCGAATGGCCCAATCCCAGTGTCCACACTAACGGACTCACAGCCTTTGAGGTGCGCTCCTGCTAAGTGCTTGAGGGCGTAGGGCTGTCCCATTGTCAAATTGTCAAATGAATGAGGGCTTTCTCGCAGTCATTATGAGCCCTTTATGCACACTTTCGATAAGTTTTAATATCCGCAGACTCTGTCTGAGGGAATTACCCACAATTCACAGCACTGTGACGTGAAACATGGGGTTACCAGGGGAAGCCCGAAAGCGTAAACAGTAAACAAACTATTTCTTTTAGTTTCTGCTTAATGATGGCAAAATTTATAATTTGGCAATTATCTCTGGTCCATTCTGTAATGCATGAGCCTGGAACACGTTCAAATTAAGCAGTTGGTCCCTTAAGTGCCTTGTCCATAAAAAAAGTGCAAATTTAAAAATAAAAAGTCCCAAAACTAAAACAGCAAGGAACATGTTTTGTTGTTAAGGTAATATCTCAATGAGCTGTCCTATTCCAATTTGTACCATTTCGAGCCCTAAATCACTTGGCAGGTGATTTAATCTGTGAGGGTTCAGGGGTCCTCTCTTCTGGGGGACATTGTGATTGGGCCAATAATCCAAAATAGTTTAGGCAGGTGCCCATTTAGGAAAACTGCTGCCATGACTGTCATGTTTAAATTTCCTCATGGCCCAATATTCAGATTTTATCATATATTCTTTGGGTATGTGTGCCAGATTTGATGTGTTAATCACAAAATGTATTAACTGTTATGGTTTTTTGAAGTTAAACTGCTGAACACTCATGTCTGCAGTTCATTTCAGTTCATTAAACTAATATGTACCATTGTTTACTCAGATGCGGTGTGGAAAGGATTATTTTCTAAATATCTTCCCCCCCCCCAAATACTTATTTGGCTTCATTCGTCCACCAGTAAACAATCCTTTGTATTTCAATTATGAAATGTCTCTCCCTAATCTCAAAGTCTCTCCTATGTCATTGAATAAGACATTTTAATTTTACGGTTAGATAAAATTACTTAACTTACCCACGAGCAAACTATGCCCATGCTTGCCACTTTTGAACTGCTGGCATATTTTTGAATTCTCCCAAATACTTTGCTCTGACGTGCTTCCTGGCCACTGGGTCTCCACGCTTAGCAGGTTACTCTGAGAGTCACAAACCATTTGAGACATGATGGAGAAATAGCCCATACCGTTCATGTATAGCATTCTCTCCCGTTTGCCAGGTTTTACCCGAATGTGCATGCATCCCAGCACCCCAACTACATTGGGGATGCCGTGCAACTTCTGCAGTTCCTGCGCCACCAGGACTCGATCATTGAGACTGCTTGGAAATGTGATGAATTCGTCGAGCATGGTTGACAAGACTTTTGACACAGTTTCCACAGCTGTATTCAAAAAAACATGACTGTTCCCAATGGTGTCGGCTATTTCATTATGTAAAAAACCATTTGCATAGAAACATAGGGCAGCAAGGACCAAATGATCGACGGGAAGAGACCGTTCGGCAAAACGCTCCAGACGAGTTCTTACACAGTCAATAATAAAACTAACGGCGAATCTGCTGAGGTGTAAGGTTCTGAAGATGAATTCATCGTCAAAATAATCTAATATATTCCCCGTAGTACTGCGATCCGATTCGATATCATCGTGAACACAAAACCAAACGGCAGCAGCGTGTGACATTTTACAAACACACCACTGAAGCCCGAGTCCGTAAAGCGAATTCTGCAGAAATGACGTAGGATTGACGCGCCGAGGTCGCAGTCACAAGCGGAGAAAACGGGCTCTGGCACAGTCGGGTCTAGTTATCACCCGGAATTTAATTTTTTTCTTACAAAAATACTTGTTCCTAAGCAGAAAGTACCCAGGATACAATTAATTTCTAGTATAGACCTACGAATTGTCTGGTACAGGTTCTCCGGGAACATTTTATAATGATGCCAGACTTCTGAAGAATGATGATGAGAAATTTAATGAGCGACATTAAGACAAAATCTGTTTAATATTTGTCATAAATTTTTTCTTTACTGCTTTTTTTTATTACTTGTTTACTTATTTGTTTCATGTGAATCCTTCAGGTAAAAGCCACTACTGCAAAACACAGAGAAAACTGGACACATGAAATATTAATATGAAAAATCTAAAGAACTGAACAGAGTCTCCTAAAATAATTCTACTTATGATATTTCGAAGTCTGAGCCCGTGGGCGCGTTTGCTCTTTGTCGCTTTTTTCACTTTGTAAACCCTGTTAATATTCGGTTATCGATAGATATACAAGCCTACTGTTACTCCCCCACGTCACTGGCTGCGCGTGCTAAAGCGGAAGTGACGCCCCCAACGCCTGTAATGAAAACAAATAACGCGAAGTAAAACAAGAGCGGGGTTAACGAAAACCTACGCTTCTATTTCATCATACTGACACCTAGCGCGGCAGATTGACTAAACGTTATTTAGGTTACCATAATATTTCTTTTATTATATTTCTTTTAATGATACATTTTTGTAAGGTTATAAATATTATTGTGAAATATGATGTTAACTGTACATGACAAATATGAGTACCGTTGCATGCTTATTAATGTTTAATACAATCGCTTGAAAGAATCAGAATAGAGACCTGATGATTGGGTTTTATTAATTGAATTTAGAGTAAATGCTGCATGATTCAATACAGGAATACAGGATTTAGCTAGTAGCGCATAAATCATGCCTAAATCAGTGCAGTACAGTCCCTGAGAATAATGATAAGAATTTGTTCTACTATTATCAGCTGCAATAAAATCATTAAGTCACATTCTAACTTTCCTAGTGAGAAGCAGATACATATAAATTATAATTAATCGACGGTCACCTAACTTCTCAACTTATTATTATTAGAAGAAGAAATTATAATAATAACCATCATCATCATCGTTACTATAATCGAGCGTCATTGTTAATTCAGGGTAGCCCACACTTAAGTTCAGTCGCAACTAATCGAGACCCGATGTTGCCAGCTCGATGTTGTCAAAAAGGCCGCTCAGAAGGCTGGTTAATGGCGCTACTTTCGGCGGCCTACGAAATAGTGCGGGGCGATTAAAGCTTTATTTCTCGCTGTGTGTTTTTCAGATTGCCGGATAGCTGGACTTAGCACCACGATATGCAGTAAGTGGACTATAATAGGCGGTCTGCCGCCATGCTATACATATAGGTGGAAAAAGGCACTGTATTGAGTTTATATTGAATAATGGTGTAGTTGTAGTGAAAGGCCTCAGCTGTGTGTGGTTAAACTTATTCATCCGATTAAAGTAACAGTACTGAACTTTATTCGCTGCTCTCATAAACCGGTGTATACCTTTCAAGATGCATCAGACTGATCTTCTTTCTAAGTGAACCTTGCTGTTTAACTGGCTAGGTAGCTAATCTTAGCAGTTAGCCGGAATGGCGAGGATGCGAACGGGGAGTGTATGGCGAGTCCGTGATCACGGCGACGCAGACCGGGCACTAAGCTTTCCGCGTCATAAGTGGTCATTTACTGGGAAAGCATAAATAAATTGCAAGTTTGGTTAATTAAGATGGGGAAAATAAAGTAATTCACTATATTCTCTCAAGCACACGGTTTAAACGTGTTTCTAATAGGTTCTTAAAGTTGATATAATATGCGTTTTTTTAGTGTTCGTTTATCTAACCGTGTATGTCTTTTTTTGGATAATGGTCCACTGTACTGGGTGTTTTTTAAAAACAGCATGAGAAGTAACAGCGAATGCATAGTTGTTTCAGCTTACTCTGCGAGTGCATGTTTTCATCCATCCATCCATCCATCCACTTGTCCTGTATGCAAGGAGATTCAGTAAATATTGGCAGATCTATAGAGTTATAGGTTTTTGGCATAATAGTGGTACTAAGAGTATTTCCTAAAACCTGTCCCCTAAAGGTACCACCTACTCAGAGCAGCCCTGTTGCACACTGTATTTGAGAACCTGTCTCTCAAATAGGTGCAATGTGAGCAGTCTATACAGAAAGTCCACAGCATTCTCTGTCTTCCTGGGCAACACATTGGTTTTGTCAAACGGCAGACCATTATTGCCAGGAAAAAAGGACTAAGAGCCCGCTTTTAGTGTTCTTGAAATGTGTATTTTGTGTGGGTTCTACAGTTTGAGGATATTTTGTACTTATAATGAAAGCTACTCATTTGAGGTTCCAGGTGCAACAGCATATTTTCTTGACATAAACGTACCGTTTATCATTTTATAACATTACAGTTGTCCCATTTGATCTGTTGACTTTGAACATGAGCGCTGTGTGAATGGCGGTTGGGTTTGACGATGCTGATTTGTGCCTCACAGGTGATGAAGCGGGTTAGGACTGAGCAGATCCAGTATACAGTGGCTCAGTACCTGAAGCGACGGCAGTATGTGGACACTGAGAGTTCCTCCAAAGGAGCCAAACTCTCTCAGTCTGCTGAGGAAATGGCAGCAAATCTCATAGGTATGAGCTCAGCAAGTCTTCTCTGCTCTTTCTCTTTCTCATGTAAGCCCTTCGTTCTGTGCTCTTCTGTATTTCTTTAGGTATCTTTATGTATAAACTGTCATAGAACACAGCACAGATATTCACTACAGACCTTGGTTTTGGGATCTTGGTACAGCACGGAAGGAAAAAACAGATTTTGTTTTGAAATTATTTGAAACTGCAACCAAACACAGTTGTAAACCAAAAGTAATGTGTTAGTCAAGGGGCCTGTACTACAAAGCGGGGTTACTGGCTTATCGGGGTAACTTGTCGGATTTAAGGTAGTCTGGGCAAAATGTGAGTGAACGAATATGAAGTCCATTAAACTGTGGTACCTTAAATCCGACAAGTTACCCCGAAAAGTCAGTAACCCCGCTTCGTAGTACAGGCCAAAGGTGTCTAAATAACAAAAACTAAGACTAGTTTATTTGCTAATTGTAAAACTAAATGTCTAAACTAAAGAAACATAACATTATAACAATCATAATGAACAAAATCTTGTCTCAATTCTATGTCCTCTCCTTTGACGTGTGGTTGTTTTTTTTGCTTGCTCTGAATTTCCTGCCAAAAGCGCCTTAAATGCCATGGGGAGACTAACTTGCATGATGCCGTCTGAAATGAGTTGGCATGTTGGATGTCTTTCCAAAAATAAGTATGAGTTTCATATAATGGAACCAACAGACATTCTTGGTCTTATTGACTACTTTCTCTCCAGTGTTGGTGTGGTTTATAGGGAAATCAAAATGTTCCCAGACTGATGATTATGTCTGATGGTTATGAGCATTAGTTGTAACCAACTGACAGCTGCAAATATCATAATGGTTCCATGTTAAATATCTGTTTGTGAATTTAGGTTCCGTTTGTGTCAACAAATGTATTCATTCATTTCATTGTGTGTAGAGAACCGAAAATGATGCACAGAATGGTACACAACAAATATGTGTACTGTTACAGGCCCAATTATTACTATTATTGTATTATCAGATTTATGCTCTAGTCTGCATGTCATGCATTTATGGAGTGTTGTTTTTCTGTCATTTTATACAATCTTTACTTTGATTTTTTTTTTAAAATAAATGTATGTTATATATGGAATTCTCATAGTTGGTTGGTTTTTGAAAAGTGATATATCGTATGTTTATGTGTGTGTGTGTGTGTGTGTGAGTGAGTTCCACACTGATGTGCGTGCACAGACACGTGTGCACACACACAGGTGAGCACACTCCCACCAGATGACAGAGAGCGCACGTTGGAAAATATGTCATTAAAGACATTCTGATCTGTTCTGCTTTGTGCCCTTCATACCTGCAGTCCAGGCTGAGTCTGGCTGTGCCAATGTGGTGTCTGCTGCCCCTTGCCAGGCAGACCCACAACAGTATGAGAAGCAGTTTGCCAGGCTGCGCGCCTTCCTCTCCGGTAAGTCCTGAAAGCGGCATAACAACTCTCCACCCTTACCTCCTCGATCTATGAAAGGCATCGTGCCCTTTAACGGGGATTTTGTGCCTCTTCGCAGGTGCGATCACAGTTCTTTCATTGTGCAGCATTCAGTATCTCCACTATGGGGCTGAACGGGTCAGGGTTGCATGGGAGCTGTCACATTGTGGGCGTCAGATCAGTCTTTTACTGTATTTGACTCTCCCTGCCGGCCCCTGGAGGATGGGCTCCCCCTTTGAGTCTGGTCCCTCCCAAGGTTTCTTCCTTCTAGGGAGTTTTTCCTTGCCACTGTCGCCTATGGCTTACTCACTGGGGGCTTTGGGTGGGGATGCTGTAAAGCGCTTTGAGACGATGTAATGTTGTGATAATGCGCTATACAAAAATAAATTTGTTTTGTTTGTTTAATGACTGTGACAAAATCTCACTTATTTCCTTAAGCTGCCGGTTTGGCTTTATCTTTAAGAGAGAAGAGACTATAGGTCGACTGATATGGGTTGATGGCCGTGGCTATGAATAACACTACTAAATTTTACTTTCACATTAATAATCTTCAAAAACGACAATTTAAATATTAATTGCTTTAAATAAGGGCCTGCAGCACTTTAAAAGTCATAGAAAATAAAACAACAATCTAACTCTTTATTAATCACACTTTAATCAAAGCGTTTCATGATTCAGTTTCTAACAAAATTAACAGAACAATATGTTTGAAGTCGTGTTATTCATCAAGTGAAACAGCTGCAGGAATTTAGAACTCTTACTTTTGGTTGTCGTGCAGGTTCCCTACTGTAGAAGCGAGTGCTCTGTGTGGTTGAGCGTCAAGTCACGCAGCCGTCACTGTACCGGCCATGCAGTCTGATTAATCGGCCGATGCTGATTGCCATAAAATGCTTAAGAATTGCCCTTTTTGTTCTGGTTGATTGATTAGTCCACCTGTCATGATGGGTTCAGGGGTTGAAGGGTTTGTTGCGTGCGTTCATCTGAAGGTTCTGCTGATATTTCAGATGCTGACGTGTCCTGGGGTCAGGAGGTGAGCGGCCTGCTCTATCCGCTCTTCGTCTACCTGTACCTGGACATGGTGCACTGCGGCCTGAAGAGTGCCGTCGACAGCTTCTACAGCCGCTTCCAGGGGCTCTTCCTGCAGGATGCTGAGCAGAGGGATATCGTTGACCTGTTGCGGCATGTCCTCACCTCGCAGGACGTCTTCTCCAACCCCAAGCTCTCTGCTTTCCTTGACCACAAATATGTGGTGCATCTGACTGAGCCAGCCTACAGCTACCTGCTGCGTTACCTGCAGAGTGGGGACAATGGCGCCCTTTGCTGGGTGCTGAGTACCCACATGCAGGTTGAGGTCACTGAAGTCCAGCGGATGGGCTACCAGCTATATGGATCGGCTCCCGGCGCTGGGTCTTCCTCACGGGGGGGGGACGCCGGGGAGGGCCTGGATCCCGCCAACGTGACGTCCAGCATCCTCCACAACGAGGCCGTGGTGGAGTCGCTGCAGGACTGCATCAAGCGCGTGAAGGACGGCCCGGCGTCGCTCACTACCGTCTGCTTCTACGCCTTCCACCACACCGAGCAGCTGCTCAACACTGCCGAGATCTCGGCCGACAGCAAGCTCCTGGCCGCCGGATTCGACAACTCCTGCGTTAAGCTGTGGAGCCTGCGGGCGCGCAAGCTCAAGGCAGAGCCCCACCTAGTGGATGTGTCCCGCGTGCACCTGGCCTGCGACGTGCTGGATGACGAGGTTAGTCCCCCACTCCATGCCCTGCTTTCCATCTGCAGTAAGGCTGGGAAACTTTTAAAAAGGCATTTGAATTTTGATTTGTCGTTCAAGGAAATAAGAATATTATACTGTTATGCTACAGGCCATGCTCACCGTTGCACAGTAGCTTAAGCCTGTTGTGTAACGAACCATGAAAGGCGAAGCCTGCAAGGTTAGCCTGCTGCTGTCTTGCCTGAGGAAAATGACGCTTAGACAATAATATATAACACATTTTTATTTTAGCTACTCACAGGACAGGAAAGCCAGCCAACAGGTGGTAGCCCATTCTCAGTTTATCACTCGCAATCGTAGATGCGCATAACTAGTACGCAAGTATGCATTCACCTTTTAAAAGTGATACGTGTGGCAATCGATTGTTGTATCAGCGCAAATGTGCAGGTAACACAGACTTATGTGCCCAAGAATCCTTAAAACTTCACATGCACTCAAATTCCGCCTTTGGTTTAAGCTGCATCTGATGTTAACTTATTTTGCCATATCAACGCAATCCTATTATTGTTCTTATATATACAACTCAGTTAATATCAATTAATCGTAATATAAATTGTCATTATTTCTTTACTTCAATGCTCCCATTTTCATAATATAATATAATGTAATATATATATATATTCCCTTTGGACTCCCCTTAAACAGATTCAGAACATGAAAAATGACCACAAATGAAATGGACTGCAAATTGCAAACCTATGCCTAATTTTTAAAAAAATGATACAGAAAAAGCTTTTTGTAACACTAGAAAACACACAGTACAGCTTGTTGCTGGACGTTTCCTCTGACTACCTCGCTGCTGTTCTAGGGGACACGTTTGACATTGCTGCTGTCTGAATGTAAGCAAAAACAGGAGGACAAATATCAGCTGTCCTTGATAACAATGTGCTTTAGGATTAATTACATATTTTTACTCACATTTGCATCTGTCTTTGCAACAGTTTTGCTATTAGATACAAAATAACTGTCAGGAGTTCACTATGTTCATATTAAATACATAAATGTCATAAATAGCTATATACAGTACTGTGAAAGTCTTTGGCAATCAAAAAATGATGATTCTGCCGAGGCTGGGGCTCAAACCAGCGTGAAAAGCTTTATTTATCATCTTGTCCTAAATAGAATGTTGATGTGTATTTGAATGCCTCATGTCTTTCTCTTCCCACCTGAAATTTATGGAAAGCAGGAAAGCAGCTGTCAGCTATAATCAGTAAGGGGCCGTGTCAGCATTTAAGTCAGAGATTCAAACCTGCCTGTGTAGAATGGGGACTTCATAGCTGTCATCTTTCTGGCATCTGGGACATATACCTTTTTCTCACAGCAACGGCAGGAAACACATTATTTTCACTCCTTTACAGGGTGTTACGGTGATTCACACATCATTTCACCAGTTTCTTGCTGACTCTCTTCAGCCATTCTGGCTAACTAAATAAATTAATGGAAGTCTGCCCCTCGTGGCAGATGCCTCAGTCTACGTTAAGTAGCATTAGGCAAAGCAAAACTAACTAATGGTAGCATAGATAAATCTGTGATTTATGTGGAGTTTTATTGTCAATTTATTGAAATATTTGTTATAAAATATTTGAATTGCTACGTTTGACCTCGCAGGTCTGGGCTGGAGACCCTTTGTGTTTCATAGCTTCCTGCTGCTCTGTCTCCTAGGCCGAGGACGAGGACAGCGTCGGCAGCGAGATGAAGGTCCTACGAGGCCACTCGGGCCCCGTTTACCGCACCGCCTTCCTGACGGACAGCTCGGGCCTGCTCTCCTGCTCCGAGGACTCCACCGTCCGTTACTGGAATCTGAGCAACTTCACCAACACTGTGCTGTACCAGGGCCACGCCTACCCAGTGTGGGACGTGGACATCAGCCCCTGCAGCCTGTACTTCGCCAGCGGCTCGCAGGATCGCACGGCGCGCCTCTGGACCTTCAGCCGCACGTACCCCCTGCGGCTGTACGCCGGACACCTGGCTGACGTCGACTGTGTGAAATTCCACCCCAACTCGAACTACGTGGCCACAGGTTCCACGGACAAGACGGTGCGGCTGTGGAGCACCCAGCAGGGCAGCTCGGTGCGTCTCTTCACGGGACACCGCGGCCCTGTACTCACCCTGGCCTTCTCCCCCAACGGCAAGTACCTGGCGTCGGCTGGCGAGGACCAGCGCCTCAAGCTGTGGGACCTGGCGTCGGGGACGCTCTTCAAGGACCTCCGCGGCCACACGGACACCATCAGCAGCCTGTCGTTCAGCCCCGACAGCAGTCTGGTGGCCTCGGCCTCCATGGACAACTCGGTGCGGGTGTGGGACCTCCGCAACGCCCACGGCAACAGCACCAGCGCCGGCGACGGCTCCTCCAGCGAGCTGGTGGGGCTCTACACTGGCAACACTAGTAACATGCTCAGCGTCCAGTTCATGGCCTGCAACCTGCTGCTGGTGACGGGGACGGCGCTGGAGAAGCATGAGCACTAGCCTGACTGCAGGGGGCGCTATCTAGAGGCGAGACTAAAACGCAGCACAGACGGTGAGATGGGGGCGCAGGGGGATTGGGCTCCCTAGGCAGCTGCACTGTGTTCCGGTCCAAATACGAGCGGCGTTAATGGAGCCCCTTAAGCCCTGGACTGTTTACAGAGAGCTGTACACTGACAGCATGGCTCCCGGCACTCGGATCTCCATGAAGGGCAGAGCAAAGCACTATATATATGTTATTTTTGTGCCAAAGTATTTTTGTTCAAGTGGGAAACCACTATGCTTTCTTGGGTCTTGGTTTCATTTTCGTTCTTGGCGCTCATTTTGCCGGATGAATACTAGAGCAAAATGTTGTAATGCTCTACTGGGTCAAGACGAGGAAATAATGTCAGTTACTGCAGCAAAAATTGCCAGCGGACAACAATATTTAGTTTTTTCAGGGTCAGTTCCTTTTAATGAAGCCTGTCTATCCTTGGTAGCTGCTTCTTTATATGAGCCCAGAATGTTTGAGTGAGAGGATGATGTTTGTGGGCAATAAAAAAGTCATTTAAATGTGTGTTGACAAAACAATTGTGAAGCATTTAAATTCCCACATCCTACATTTACCAAAAACATGATTCTGAATGTACAGGGCATTGCGCTGCTCATATTTTGCTCTAGTTTTTTTGGTAAAATTATAGAATAGGATCTTTAAATACTAATATTCCATTCATATCTCTTTGAGTGTCACTTGATTTAGATATTGAGATGAAAAATATTTGTGTTAATCTTCTGAGGATATATTTACATGGAGTTCCTGTTATGGTTTTCCACGTTTTAGCTAAAACTGGAGCAAAAATGCTGTCTGGCACTGGTATTGTTTTTGTTTTGGATTATTTTGGACAGAAGTGTAATATTTCATATTTACCATGTGAAGTTCACTGGGATGCACTCACTGATCCAAGACACGCTACCTGTCATTTTTTTAAGTACATGATGCTCAGTGACCGTATTAGTATTTCAGAGGTAGGAAAATATTTCTAATTCAAAATCCCATTTGTATTTATTTCATACAGCTAAATATTAATTTAGTCATTTGGAATATTCAAGTTGAACTGTCATCTGATTTGTCAGTCATCTGTTGCTGCATTATGAAATAAAATCCCAAGTGTACATCAAAGATTATTGGTTTATTTTGGCCTCTGAGTCACTGGCATTTCCCATCATGGTCTATTCAAAAGAAGATTGTGGGTAACTGGATTTATGAGGAGTCGTCTCTGACTGGGGGGCAGTAGTGTGTAGCTCAATAGGTTAGGGCTGTTTGCCCCAGTCTGGATGGCTTTAGGTCTCCCGTGGCCAGCAGACTAATGATGTCACTGTCGGGCTTTAACCTCGGCTGCTGCAGGGAAGCTGTCGACCTGGAGCTCCTTCCCTCACCCAAGTGTCACTTTGGCAGAGGCCTCTGCTGCACGAGTGAATGAATGTTGGACGTGTTGCTTCCATGAACTTTGCACAAAGCCAGCATATCACCTTGTAATACCTCCCCCCCAGGAGGTGTGTAGCTTAATTTGAATTTCCTGAAACTTTTTGTTAAGCTGAAAGTGCTTTATTAAAAAAGATGTTCAAATATAACATCAGTCTGTGTTGTGCTGTTTTTGTCAGTCGTACCAAAATTTAAATCTTGTTTGCAGCTACAACAAATAACCCTTTTATGAAAGCACTGCTACATGCGGGTGGTGTGATGGCTGAATATGTAGCACTGTGGGCTGCACCAGGCTTCAGGCTTTGAATCCTGCACTGAGTTTGTCTTTTTCCTGTGTCCTATACTGGGTAATTAATGGATGGTATGAGAAAAAATACTCGTTTGCTTAAGATTGTAATGGTCAGTCATCAGTGCTCATAATGACTGCTAAGTGAGGAAACGAATGAGATTTCATGACATGATAAAATGAGTTTGAACTGTTACAGCATACAAGTTAAATAAAACTATAGCTTTTGTACACCAGGGGCTCAGCTTATTATTTAAACAAATAAGACCAACAAATCATGAAGACCCGAAGACGTTTCTATACAATGCCTTGCGGGAATGCCGCTCAGTCATGCGTACTCGTCTTTAAGCTTCGGAACGATCCTGCGACCTGCCGGTATCCCGCTATGTCTGCTTCGAAGTGAGCGACGGGTTTGGCGGAAGTGATGTCACAGGCGCGACAAATGTGCGCGCCTCCACAGCGCGCTTTGAATCGAGAGGTTGCTTTCACATGCTTGGCAGTTCAAAATAGGCATTAATTCAATGTAACCATAAAAAAACTATTGGTATCTTGGTTGGAAAAGCTGCACGATGTATTCTCCGCGATCCACTCCTGCTTCAGTCCGCAGGCCAGCCGCTCGGACAGCCGGGAGGAAGAGTCTTGCCGCTACCCCGACTGGAATTCTCTTCTCTCCGGCTCGGAGGAGTTCATTGTCAGCCAGGTAGCAGACTACCTGAAGTCACCCTTGTGTGTTTATTAGGCGCTGTACGCTGTCCGATCGTCGACGGGTAGGCCGTTTGTCAGCCTCTTTCGTTTCTTCTTCCTTTCCAGAGGGACTCCCATAAGGGTGCAGAGTCAGACGGCCGCCGAGTCATTGAATTTTGATGTGCAAACGTTTGGCTCCTCGCTGCCTGTCAAAGTGATGGAGGCTTTAACTGTGGCCGAAGGTATGTGGTTATTGTAATGGATTAGCGCATCATAGTAGTGACTTGCAGTTAAGCACGCGCACAAGGTGATTTTAACATGACATTCACTATTTGGCGACTTTATTATACCCGTTTTGTCTCGTACTTTTTCCTGCGTTGGGGTAACTCGATTTACGGTTATTTGTTGACATACAGTACCTATGCAATTCAGTTCAAATTGAAATACAATGATTTTTTCTTATGGCTTACAGCCTTTTGTTTTATTTTGAAGTGGCAAGATAAAACCTAACTGTAATATTAATGATCTGTGAAAAAATTTCACCCCCTAAATTTTGCAGAATTTCTGAGATGTAAAACTTGTCAGTTTTATATGCAGTTATATATGTAATACTGAACAGTGTGTTTTATACAAGTCACTTGTGCATAATAATCTTGGTATCTATATCAGAGTAAGGAGGATATTCATGTGTAGATGCTGTTTCACCAGCTGATGCCCAGATCTCCGTGAAGGTGGAGGAGAGCGGCTGGGCTTGGATGGTGTGTGGGGAGCGGCTCATTGTTTGGAAGATTGGTCAGACTGCAGTGGCCAAGGTAAAGTGTTTTTGGGGTTTAATGGTGCGTGTAACATCTGCACACACGGTGAGATTGCAGTTACTGATTTTTATATATGTAATTACAGACAAGGAATGCAAAGTGCTATTCCATTTTAATCCAACAAGTGGCTTTTGTATCGCCATTCTTGACTATGAAGAAATTTGGCATGTGAATTACACATACCTTCTGTAGCTAAGAAATACTTTTTGTTTATTAAAAACATCCCTTTTAGGTCTGGTACCTTTTCTACACCGTGGGTAGGAAAAATGATAATTCAGAGTGTTTTGTCGTGAGCTGTAACGTTTTTTTGCCATGCCAGCTGCATGACCCTGCTATTGTTCATTGGACGGCTCAGAAGGAATGCTTTTTCTCCATTGTTTGGTCAAATTGAACTTTTATCTAAGTTTCCTTTTACAAGGTCAGATCATCTTGTGAACTTTACTTGTTTACTACTTTTGATTATGGAAAAATGGGCTTAGTCTGGGTTTGAGGGACTGGTCATGCCATTTGGAAGCTGTGCTGGAGAGTTTTTTCTATTGTCTCATAAGAGCACAAGAGAAACATTATTCCATGTATGTCGTCCAAAGATTCATTGTACACGACAATAGCCATAAAGGATTTAAGGTACCACAGTTTAAATGGCCTTCATATTCGTTCACTTACATTTTGCCCAGACTACCTTAAATCTGACAAGTTACCCCGATAAGCCAATAACCCCACTTCATAGTACAGGCCCCTGGTGTAATGTGGTCTGTGAACTTGACCAGTGCTATAAATATCAGACGTGAATCGGTGACATATGGCTGACACCCGATCTGTCTAATAGGTATGGATTGGTGCACCACTAGGTTTAATTGTGATTTATCTTCTGATGTCATGCACTTCCCCTTCAGTGACATTTATAACCTCTTTTTCCAGCTGTCTGTATGTAAAGAGCTCCAGTTGTCGCCCAGTGAGTTGGCGTACTCTGCAGACCTCGTCGCCATATCGTCTGCGATGCCACTGGAAACAGCCCCAGTTCAGGTGGGGTTACCGGCCACGTCCCGAAAAGCGGATCCTTCCAGACGTCTGCTGTCATTTTCACTTGTTGCCTGTTGTATCGTTCATCCCAGTGGGGTGAAAATAATTGCCGGTCTGTTTGCCTTTGTGCAGTTGATTTCGGTGATGGCCGTGTCCCCTGAGGGAACTGTGCGCTTCTGGCCCAACCTGGCCCATGAGGGGACCTTCATCGAGGCTGTGGCAGACGTGGGTGGCAACTTCTGCAACTTCCTTACAGCTGTCAAGGTAACGTCAAGGTCTACATTTCAAGTAGAGATGGGCGATCCACGTTTTTTCAGTTCCGATCCGATTTCAATACACAACTGCCGATACCGATACAGATTCCGATACAAGAGCTCTTTTTACTTTGTTATACTTTACATATTATTTTTTTTAAGCTAGTAAATACAGATGGAAAAAATGTATGACAAAAAATATTTAATTAGGCTACTACAAACATACATAACGTACTGTTCCACCTCATTTGTTTTAAGCGTTTTTGAGGCATTTGCAGTTCAATATGAATATCTTCAAAGCAAATATACACAAGTGGCGAATGCTTAAAATTTTAACAGTTTTTCTCCCATTGGCATCAGCGCAGTTACACTTTTGTTGCGATGGCAGCCCCTCTTGTATCTCAAGCAACGAGTTCGCAAAACAGTCCAATTAAGTTAGCGACTCCCAAATCATCCATTGCTTTGTTTTGTCTCGCAGTTGCGTGCGCTTTGTTAAATGGGATTTTCCATTAAACGCTATTCCCACCTCAAAACCTTATTTTACATAGATTGCAAAACGCTGTGCTTCCGATTTCTGTTAAAAGCCTAAAATACTCCCAGATCGTCACGTCTTATCTTACGCTCCTCGTACTGCGAAGGGTATGCGCATGACCTCACAGCAGGCGGAAGTCACTGTACTCACACCCACTGAGTAGCAAAAAAGACTTAGGGGCAGTGATAGCGTTCGATTTGAATTCTGCAAAAACACACATGTAAAATGGGAAAGAGCTGTCGTGCGATTGATTGCCAAAAACTAAATAAGTAAGTATAGGACGTGGATCGGTCACGCATGGCCGATTCCCGATCCGTCAAATAGGTCTGGATCGGCGCCGATACCGATCCGAATATCGGTATCGGTGCATCTCTAATTTCAAGGCGCTGGGTGTCCTACACATCCTGGTAAATTTAAATGGCCCAGGTCTGGAAAATGCATGTGAAATGAGAGCTGAAGGTCCCTGAAACCCAACAGCAAATTAATTAGTGGAATCAATGGGCAATATGCCCCTCCCCCAACCCACATGGATTACATTTAATGGTAAATGGGCTGCTTATCATCTACTTTATCTTTAAACCTTTTTAAAGTTTGTGGTAAAAGCTTGCAAGTATTTTTTAGGGACCGATCATCAGAGGTGGCAATTTGAGGTCCAGTAAGTAAAAATCTAGACCATGATTTAAAGCGGATCCTTCCAACCAACCAGTTGAGTACTCTGAGACTATGACTCTTTATGCTCAACTGGTTGGTTGAAAGTAAATCATGGTCTGGATTTTAACTTTCTGGACCTGAAATTGCCACCTCTGCTGATTATCCGTTTTTAGGTGAAATAATGCTATCCAGGTGTTAGACCAGGGGTCTCCAACTCCGGTCCTGGAGGGCTACTATCCAGTAAGTTTTCTATCCTACCTGGCTTCTGATGAGCCACACCTGCTCCTGGTATTTACCTGAGAACTAGTGCAGCTCATCAGAAGCCAGGTAGGATACTAAACCTACTGGATAGTAGCCCTCCAGGACCGTAGTTGGTGACCCCTGTGTTAGACTGTCTGTCATGCAGGTATTTAAGTGAGTTTGAAGTACATGCTCCCCAACCTGGGGGGAATTCTACTAAGCAGGATTTCTTGCTTAGCCAGATAATTTGTTGGATTTAAGGTATTGTGACCTAATTGTAAGCGAACAAAGATAATGTCCATTTAGCCCAGACTACCTTAAATCCAACAAGGTATCGACTGAGCAAGAAATCCTGCTTTGTGCCATTCCCCCCTGACGCCTGTGTTTTATGTTGACATGTCATTATTCTCTTTGCTTACTGGCGTTTTCTGGAAATCTATACCAAATGTTATGCTCATTCCACAAAAGCGTATTACTTGAAATGTGGCCACCTGGAACACATCAGTTTCGATCGAAAAAGTAAAAATGGAAAGATCAAGGAACTTTCCTTTTGAACTTTATTTTTGTTGTATCTCTGAAGGGAAGGTGTCATGATCTGACGGATGTGTAGTTCAGTGTCAGATGTGACACAGAAAGTGTCAGTTGTGATAGTTGCGGGATGTGTTCTTCAGACGCTGCTTGCTGTCCTCTCTCGAATATCTCTGGAAGGTTCTCTGTCGTCCTAGGGGAACAGCTTCGTCTTGTCGTCCTACAAAAGCCAGCTTCTGCGCCTGACTGTGGATGCCTCTGGGAGGCTCCAGCAGAGGGCGCTGCAGCAAGGACATGGTGTTCTGTCTGGCATCGGCAGGCGGATGTCCTCCCTCTTCGGTATTCTAGCGCCTCCTGCTGATTCCATTGTAAGTCTTTACGCTGAAGATGGTGACCGGTCCTTCTTTACCTCTGCACATTTTTCTTGAAGTACAGATTTGAAACAAAACCTTAAGTTTTAAAATTGTTTTATGTATATAGTTAAGTGTTAAGTCTGTATTTTGTGAAATTTTTTGTTAAGTGAATCTGACAGAAATCCCAATCAGGATAAGGCTGTGATCGAGCGAAATGAGAAAATGTATTTGTTTAAAATTTACACAAAAACGTATGATCTCGAGAGCATGATTGAAGGTAGACCTGAATATTTACTGCATTAGTTAAAAAGGCAGTGGAATACAATGTAGATGAATGTGCTGTTTAAAAATTTCACCGAAATTACAGTATAAGACCAGTCAGAAAACACACAATTCTGCCAGACCAAACACACAAAGTTGTGTATGATGGCAGTCCTAGAGGGCCTTTGATTGGATGATCTGTTTGATTGATTTGATTGGTTGGATTGGTATGGTACTGTCACCTGGCCTTGACTCATTTCCTTCATGTTCTGACGTTTCCTCCTGCTGTCCAAAGAGTTGCTGTGATTGTGAGCTGGGAGCCCAGTGTCTGTCTTGGCTGCTCCTAGCCCTCGTCATTCCCTGTACTTCCTTGGACAGAAGATGGATTGAAACTCCGAATTTTGAATTCGCTCATTTAATTTAACTCCTTTTTGGGGGTCATGCTTCTGAAAATCCATCCATCCATCCATCCATTATTTCCCGGGGGCAGCAGTCTCAGCAGGGAGACCCGGACTTCCCTCTCCCCGGCCACTTCCTCCAGCTCCTCTGGGGGAATCCCGAGGCGTTCCCAGGCCAGCCGAGAGACATAGTCCCTCCAGCGTGTCCTGGGTCTTCCCCGGGGCCTCCTCCCAGTGGGACATGCCCGGAACACCTCACCAGGGAGGCATCCTAAGCTGATGCCCGAGCCACCTCATCTGGCTCCTCTCAATGCGGAGGAGCAGCGGCTCTACTCTGAGTCCCTCCCGAATGACTGAGCTCCTCACCCTATCTCAAAGGGAGAGCCCGGCCACCCTGCGGAGGAAACCCATTTCGGCCGCTTGCACTCGCAATCTCGTTCTTTCGGTCACTACCCACAGCTCGTGACCATAGGTGAGGGTAGGAACGTAGATCGACTGGTAAATCGAGAGCTTCGCCTTTTGGCGGAGGCCGCACCGATCCGCCTGTCGATCTCCCGCTCCATCGTCCCCTCACTCGTGAACAAGACCCCGAGATACTTAAACTCCTCCTCTTGGGGGAGGACCCCATCCCCGACCCGGAGAGAGCATTCTACCCTTTTCCGGCTGAGGACCATGGTTTCGGATTTGGAGGTGCTGATTCTCATCCCAGCCGCTTCACACTCGGCTGCGAACTTCTGAAAATGTTCTGGCTAATTGATTTTGAACACGAAGGCAGAATGTGACCTTTCCCTACAGTATTGTCCAAGCTGTCGCGTTACCCGACTCCACGTCCGCTTCCTTCGCAGTTACACAGCCTTCTCTGGGTGCGGGCCACTTGCCAGCTCTACACTTTGAGTAGCTGCTCCCTCAGCAAGTGGGAGGTGGAGGAAAGCTCCGAACACCAAGTGCTCAGCTGGGACATCAACAAGAACGTGACGGAGAGCATCAGAGACGCCGTCTGGGTTCGTTCCCTCAGCTCCTCATCCCACTTTCGTCTGTCATCTTAAAGTTTCTCGTCCTGACGCACGTCAGAGCAGAATTTGTTTAGGCGAATTTTTTGGCCTTGCGAATTGTAACTTTTTTTTTTTTCAGGGCTCAGAAAGCAACTATGAAGAAATTAAAGAGGGCGTTAGGGTGACGTACCTGGACATGCAGCTTGGCCTGTGAGTACGAGGAGCAGCCTTCCGTCTTCCTCCCGCTTCTCCATGGAGGTCTGGAGCCTCCCCCCACATGTGAATGTACCCGTGTGTGCAGGGATGGCTTGGTGGTCCTGGCTGCCGCGTGGCACCCATCTGACACCCCCTGCCTGGTCTATTACTGCCTACTCACCCTGCCGGACAGTGACCCCATCATGACAGAACCGCTTTCTGTGGAGGTCACCAAATACAACCCCCCCTTTCAGGTTAGTGCTGATGCAGGTACCCTCTCCAGAGGGTCGTGCTGCTGTGCCCGTCCTTTCCACGGTGTGATGGATGTGAGGCTCTCTGCAGTAAAGGCCAAATGCCCGTCTGCCTTAAACCCCCCCCTTCCCCCCCGCAGGGTGAAGAGGAGCTGCAGGCCATGCGCTTCCTGCTCCCGCCCTCCCCCACCATGGCTGCGTATCTCTACAGGGACGACCTGATCTACGCCTGCTCCTCTGGCACTGGGCGGGGCAGCCTGCCCGAGGAGAGGATCCCCTTCAGCTCTGCCGGTGAGGGAGGCTCAGCTTTCTGTGTCCCCGTCTCTCTCTCTCTGTCCCCGTCTCTCTCGTCTCTCTCTCTCTGTCCTCGTCTCTCCCGTCTCTCCCGTCTCTCTCTCTGTCCCTGTGTCCCCGTCTGTGGTTGTTACAGTAATTGTGGATTAGGCTTTTGCCCATAGATTTAAGTGGTCGGCCGTGTTTGTTCCCGACTCCCCGTGCCCCTGCAGGAGATCGCATCCTGGGCGCGGGCTGCTGTGCCAGCTTGCCCGTCTTCTTCTCCCAGAACAGCGGCCTGGTGGCCGTGGTGGCCCAGGAAGGCGCGTCTATGCTCCCTGAGACGATGGAGGACTCGTTGTCCTCCTCCGTGGCCGGGATTGCACCGGAGGTGGGTTCCTGACCCTTCCTGTCGCTCTGCGGCCCTGCGGATGCTCCCATGCCAGCCCTATAAGGCGAAGAATGGCCCAACGACCAGTAAATTCCTACAGATAATGTGTCAAATGCCCAGCCCTGCTTTAAATCATGTAAAGACTGACAGATTCTGCTATTGACAGCCATTCGTTTAAGCATCATATCCCAGTCCTTATTAAACACTCCTCTTGCTTTTCCCCCAATTTAAGGGAGGGGCTGCTGAAGGTTCCTTGAGGATGGAGACAATTGCTCAGGAGGACAAAACCAAACTGCTAAAGGCGGCTTTCCTTCAGTTTTGCCGGTAGGATGTGCACAGTGTAGATACGTACAGCGAGGTCCTAATGGTGAATGAGTCGACATAATCACTTGCTCTCCACTATGGAAAATGGCAGATTGTCCATTGCAATCATCTCCATTATTTTAGTAGTTATGTCTTTAGCTCTGGTGCTACTAAGTTTTAATATTGATATATCTGATAGTTTAAATATCGGCTGGAATTATTGGCCAAGATTGATTTTTAAAGAACGTGGGATTGAGAAACCTCAAAATATTTTGCGTGCCTTGGATAGCAAGGGTATTTTGGAAAGGTGTTTCCTAGACTCCATGGTCTACCGATGACAGTTTTGCATCATGAGTGAATTACTCTGTATGGAGTTGATGAAGTCGGTGTCGTCACACACGCTGCTGAAAAACTGCAGACTGGTATAGTGTTGGTTAGCTGCTGGTATAGCTGGTGGACCAGTATAGCTGTTCTGCCTGCACATGAAACTGGTCCACCAGCAATATTTCATTAAAGATGCTTTAATGATTAATGATTCATGATTAATTGATTCTTTTTTTTTTCTGAGAAATACTATGGGAAAATCGAATCATGAATCCAGTATCATGAATTGTAACATGCCTACTGCGTTCCTCTGTGCTGTGGTTTTCATGAAGCATTACACCCTCTGCCTGTCACCAGCTGTGACCCCTGTACCCGCCCCCCCATCCTGATACGGTGTGTATCATTCCCCAGGAAAGACCTGCTGAGCTCCCAGACGATGACTGATGAGCTTTTCCCCGCTGATGGCGATGGGGAGGGCGACGCCGAGCTGGATGGGGTCGTCATGCAGATCGATCTCGACCTGGTGGACGACTACCCCGCCTCTGACCCCCGCTGGGCCGAGTCCGTCCCTGATGGTGAGGGAAGTCAGCCATTTCAGTGCAGTACCCACCCAGTCCTCAGGGGGGCAGCACACCACAACCTGCTGATGATCAAGCTCCCATATTCTGTAGTGTTAAGATTTATTTGACTATATTAGAAACACAAAACCTTGTGGAAACACACAAAATGTGTATTTTAACACAGCTTACTGAAGTTGGGTACTTTTTAAAAAGTTTGTGAATTGATGATTAGATACTTTCACCCCCCCTTAAATTCCAATGAGGTGTCAAAGTGTCTCACGTTCACCGTTTCTGTACTAATGTTATTAACCCTTTACGTGCAGAGAGTGCAGGATTGACGCTCACATCCCTGATTGTCCTTCACCAGTTGGAGGATAAGATGAAAGCTCACTGCTTCTTCATGGACTTCCTCCAGCAGGTATGAAGGTTTTGGCTTCTATCTACTGCAGTATTGCTCTTAAAAAAAGGTGTTTGTTCCTGTTATCTATGTCTCTTTGTGTAGGGAGAATTGCGCCAGGGGTGTACTTGGAAATTCTGGGCCCCCTGATAAAATTTCACCTTGCCTTCTCACCCCCTCCGGACTCCCCTGGATAGCGCCCGACCCCTCCCCCCCCTTTCCTCTGTGACTATTTCCGTGCCTGAATGCCTTTTCCGCACCAGGTGTCTCTCCTGGAGCGCCTGACCTCGGTGACGGTTCGCTCCGTGCCCATGGCCACACGCCTCCTCCTGTGCGAGCACGCCGAGAAGCTCTCCGCCGCCATCGTACTCAAGAACTACCACACCAAGCTGCCCGCGCTGGTCAACGCCGCCATCTGCAGCACGCTGAGGAAGAGCGGCACCCCCGTGCCGGCCAGCCTGACCGCGGCCGATGTGTTCTTCAGAGAGGTGGGGGGGCATCGCCTTGCACACCCAATGCCGTTTTTTAAAACCCCGCTGTAAATATACAGGATATCTGTCTGCGTGTGGGTCCGTTGGCAGGTGTCTCAGGTCTCCTCGATCTTCGAGAGCCTCCTGGAGGAGGAGGAGAGGACACTGAGGGAGTACCCCGTCGACTCCGTGGAGTGGGCGGAGGTCGTGGTCAACGTCAACAACATCATCAAGGTACACGGCAGCTCGTGTCAGGGATCGCCGAATCCATGTGTGGAAAAGGTTCACAACACAGTTCTCTTCTGAAAATGTTTGTCCCCGTCTCCCACCATAAGAAAAAGCCGCCAAACACGGGGCAGTAATCTGCCCGTCATTCGTGGCTTAACGCTTCTGCTGAATTCGGCACTTGCCCGAAAGCTGTCGATATTTTTATAAAAAAAATTTCTCTTGCTCTTCTGTTGTGATGAAAAACAATGCAGGCATTAAGCTTATCAGATCAAAAACTGTCTATAGTCTGGAAAGTGACCCTAGGTAATTTTGTTCATAAAAAAAAAAATAGGTATAGTTTATAAATAGGTAAGACAACACCAGTTTGTTTTTTGCTTTATGAGAATACACACGGGGTGCTGGTCTTGTGAACACAGTAACCCTACACTCTTTTTCAAACTTTGCAGACATGTTTTAGGGGTGACACACTTGTACTGATCAGATTTTGAGAGAAATTGCACCAAAATTAAAGCAACCCTGAATAGTGTTAACAAAGAGAATGCCAGCCTCAGACACATGATCTTGTTACTGCGATAACTCAAAAAGTGTTTGACAGATCTTTGTCAGCCTTTGTAGGCAGATTGTATAAGTGAATGTGTGGACCTCTTCTTATTTTCAAATTGCAAATTGCATCAAAACTAAAGTAACACCACTGCAGCAAAGGAAAGAGTTACTGGTGAATACACTTGTTCAGATGAACAGGGTAATTTGATATTATTGCGCTGTTTATTCTCGTGCTGCCACTATCTATTAATATGTCGACTTACCAATTGCTTAATTAATCAAAACGATTAATTTTCCTCCAGAAAATCGCATTGACGGCAACAAACTGTTATTGTAGGACTTTCGATAAAGGGCACCAGCGTTTTGGTGTTATACGGACTTTACTTACGCCCAAAAGTTAGCAAACTTATGGTTATTAAAATCAGTTAGCGGAGCATGCTACATGCAACAGTTTTGTTTTACCATGGATGCGATAAGCACTGAAGTCGCGATGAAGAAAGGGACAGCTCAGCAGCCACAACATCTTCTGAAAGAGAAGATGATATGGTTAAACAAGGTAGAAAAAAAATACCACTGGTCCCAATGAGCTCAACGCACACAAACACACACCAGCACTGTCAATCAAAGTAGAATAAGCCCAGATTCTAGCCTAAGCATTTTCACAAACACTTACTCAATGGAAATTCTAAGGTGGCAGCAGGCAGACAACTTCAAGACTTTGATAATGAGTGTATTTAGCAGTTACAATGACAAAAGGTATTAAAAAGTTCCTCGTACTAATGGTAATTTAATAAGCATGAATAGAGAGCACTTATGGTGGTTTTGCCTTTTCTGGCGGTCTAGAATAGCTCCTGTGTGTTTCCTGTTCATTTGCTCGTGCATAGCACTAGTGCGGCTGTGGTACGCCATCGAAACATTGCACAGTGTACAAGCCACCTTTACAAATATTTATAAATATGTATACATACGTACATACATACGTTCATACATTCATACATACATAAATACATACATACATACATACATACATACATACATACATACATACATACATACATACATACATGTATGTATGTATAAAAACTTTTCTCTCAGCAGATTTTAGAAGTAGCAGTCTGGTAGCTGGTCAGTGAAGTTCATCGTGGAGAACTTGCCAAAATGTATTATTTAGCCGCAGTCCTAGTCTGTGCTGACAGCTGTCTGCTGCCTAAATAAATGTAGGTTACAGAACTACAGGACCTGGCTCTGTTGGAAACATTTTAAGTCATAAACTTAAAATCAAATGGATTTTCGGAAATATGTTTTTATTGTGGAATGGCATTTTAGAAGGAAGCCGAAACTTAGCTGGATCTGATGATCTCCTCCCTGATCAGGACATGCTTCAAGCTGCTACCAGCTACAGAGAAACCAAAGCCTCTCTGTACCGAGGCCCAGAAGATGGCAGATCTGAGCCGGAGTACATTCCCTGGACAGGTAGGGCATGTGCCGAGTATCTGCTGAGGATCACAATCGCGGTGTTTCTCTGTGGGGTGTGTCCTTTGGTTACAGCACCAGCATCCAACATTCAGACCTGTTTAGTTCTCTTGAACATTCCTGTCCTTACTGAGGGTGTTTCTTGCTCTTGTTTCCTCTCCCGAAAGCCATCCTTTAATTCTCTCCATCCTCGTGATTTCGTTCTCAGCCTCCAGTGGTCCTGGGGGTGTGCGGACGGTTCTCGCCCAGCAGCACGAGGTAGTAGTGAAGACGGTGTACCCGCATGTGGACACGCAGCTGCGCAGCACCTTGAATGAGCAGCTGGTGGCGCTGCTCGATTCTTACCTGGGCACCTACGTGGCCCAGCTGACCTCACTGAACCGGGCCAGCCAGCAGGAGCGATACAGGAGCTTGGAGATGGAGTACATGCAGAAACGGGCCGAGCTGCTGACGCCGCTCTGTAAGTCTCCCCTTCGGTGCCTCAAACATTCTCAATCTCCCATCGAGTTTATATTTTATATCTTTACATTTTATTTTACTCCATTTCATTCTTATCTTCTTATTTTTATTTTTGTATTCTATTCTATTGTTAATAGGTTGGGCACTGCAAATACATTTCACTGCATGTCGTACTCTGTGTGATTGTGTATGTGACGAATAAAGACACTGGACGTTTGGACCCTGTAGCTGGCACTGGAGCTGATGGTCAGATCTCTTTCCTGTCCTGTCTCGCCTCAGTGGAGTTGGGTCAGTACCAGTGGGTGGCAGTCCTAGCAGAGAAGTACTGCGACTTCGACATCCTGGTGCAGATGTGCGAGCAGACTGACAACCAGAGCCGGCTACAGCGCTACATGACCAAGTTCGCAGACCAGGTACGCTGCCTTCACGCCATATTTAAACAAAAAAGATGACCACAAGCTGTTTTTTCTTGTACCTAGTGTATAGTTATTACCAGCACTTAGCAGACTGGCTATTCAAAGTGGTTTCATGCTGACGATATATTCGCAATTTCATTCAATGTCGATAAATGGCTTATTTCTTGTGGCGGCAGTCTGATTTCGGAAGTGTGGCTTTTGATTGGCAGGTGTAAAGTAATATGGCTGCTCAAGCCAGTTACTGGAAACATTCAACATGAATGTGTAATCTCTGTGTCAGCAAGCTGAATTTAAATTTCTTAGTTTTATATAGTAGTGCTTGAAAGTTAGTGAACCCTTCAGAAGTCTCCATATTCCTGTATAAATATGACTTAAAACATCACAAGATTTTCACACGTCCTAAAAGTAGGTGAAGAGAACACAGTTGACCAAATGAGACAAAAATATCATACTTGGCCATTTATTTATTGAGGAAAATGATCCAGTGACACAAATCTGTGAGTGGCAAAAGTATGTGAACCTTTGCTTTTAGTTTTAGGCGTGACTCCCTTATACAGCAATAACTACATATAAAAGTTCCAGTAGATCTTGATCAGTCCTGCACATCGACTTGGAGGGATTTTAGCCCATTCCTCCATACAGAATTGCCTTAACTCAGGGCTGTTGCTGGGTTTTCTCAAATGAACTACATGCTTCAGGTCCTTCCACAACATTTCTATTGGGTTAAGATCAGGACTTGGTGATTCCAAAATCTTTATTTTGTTCTTCTCCAACCAGTGAAAACCTGATGATGTTTTTAGTAGGGCTGTCACTATCGATTATTTCAATAATTGAGCAATTTACCAATTAATCTGATGATTCAAATAATCATTTATATATAATATAGTATATATTATATTGTATAATGTGATATGATGTATAATATAATATAATTAGTGCTAAGCAGGAATCAACCAACCACTGCAGGGTGCACACTGAATGACACATATGGTCAGTTTAAGCACACTAGTTCATTTCAGTTGCATGTTTTTGGACAGTGGAAGGAAACCAGAGGATCCTCAGAAAAACCACCATGCAGGGTGATCATGCAAACTCCACACACACAGTGGTGATGTGCGCCGACACCACGACCCACCACGCCATTCTGCCGCCCTGACAGGCCTGTACGATGTGCGACGTTAATATCAACATGGCATTTTATGCACATGCGACTGTCACATCTCATGGAACGCGATATTCTGCTGGCTTCAAGCTTCAATAAGCTGCACTAAAACTTTTTTTTTTAATTAGTCACCAAAAACCAAACTTAGTAAGCTTTATTTCATTCTAATGATGGTTCCTTTTCAAAATTATCTAGATTATGTAAAAATAAATAGATTGATGTGGCTAAGTGACGGGGCTCATCTTCGTTTTAGCAGCAATTATTTTGACATACAGGAATCAGAAAGTAAATTAAGCAAAATAATTTAAGTCAACGCGATGACAAAGACAGGCTAAGCTACTCTGCGAGGCCAAATGGCATATATATATCTGTGGTTAACCTCACGTTATTTTCCTGAATGTTGTCTTTTAAGATATACTTGTATTGCAGTCGTTCTGTGGTGATATTTAAGTTCTGCTTTGCAATACTTAGACGACTGCATTTTCATTCACTTTTAATGTGAATTAAATTATTTAGACCCTAATACGCTATGCACGTCTTCCTTCATTCCTTCCATATTGCCGAGAACGAGAAGGAAAATTTCAATCGATGCTTTTTAGTAATCGAGTTTAATCGGGTATTCCTGACAGCTCTAGTTTTAAGTCATATTTATGCAAGAATATGGAAAATTCTGAAGGGTTCACTAACTTTCAGGCACCACTGTACATTGAATTGAATGCTGTTTTACTCATTCTGTTTGCTCCTTGTGACACTGACTTGCTGTTCGTTCTGTTTTGCAGAACTTTGCAGATTTTCTCTTCCGCTGGTACATGGAAAAGGGCAAACGGGGGAAGTTGCTGTCGCAGCCCGTGGCTCAGCACCAGCAGCTGGCAAGTTTCCTGCAGGCCCATGAGCACCTTAGCTGGCTGCACGAGATAAACATCGACGACTTCCAGAAGGTAGGTCTGCACCATGCACAGCCGGTCAACCTACGGTACTGCGCAGAAACACTGTCCAGAAAGAAGCTCAGCTCAACCTGTCATTATTGATTAACGTTCTGAGTGTTTTGTTCTTTCTGAAGGTCTTTTGGAGAGAGACTCTGTCAGCTGCCTTGCTGTGTAGATGGTCAAATGTCTCCTTACTGTAGGACCTTCTAACAACTGGCCCTGCTGGACCTTCTGCTGCCTGCTAGGCCTGTAACATGCAGCAGTCTGGCTGCTAATGAAGTCCTCTCTCTCCCCTGTAGGCTCACCGCACTCTGTATGGACTCGCTAATGCAGAGACACGATACTTTGCAAAAAAGAAGACCCTGCTGGCCCTCAGCAAGCTTGCAGCCCTCACCTCCGATTATTCAGAGGCAGTGTTACAGCGAAAGTTGGATGGTAAGTTGGAACAACAATTCACTTAATTTAAATTCCAGAAAGAGTTTGCATATCCTAACTCAGAAATGCATGCGCAGCTCATCCATAAAGCAGGTGTAAATTGTGAACCCTTTTCCCCTTGTAGGTAAACACAAGCTTTTTTCCACTGCACTGTCGCCCCCTAGCTAATGCCTGACATGCCTGCAGTGTGTAGCTTATCCAGTGCGTCACGCTAACGCTGCGTCTCCCCACACTGTCGCCCCCTAGCTAATGCCAGTGTGCCAGTGTGATGGTGCAGTGTATAGCTTATTCAGTACAGCACGCTAACGCAGTGTCTCCCTGCAGATATGGTGGAGCAGGAGCGCTTCCTTCTCCACCAGGAGACTCTGCCCAAGCAGCTGCTGGAGGAGAAGCGGCTCAATCCGGACACCATGCCGTTGCTGAGCCCCCACAACCTCGTCAGCGTGAGCATCGGGCTCCCAGGCCCCCCCCCCCCTTAGGCCGCTCCACTTCTGCCGTCTCTTACTGTTAAAACGCTGATGTATCTGCCATCATCTATAGGGTGCTGGACCCTCACACATGATATCAGAGCAGTGAGCTGTGATGCAAAAGTAGTTGTTGTAGTTTTCTCAGGCAGTTGCAGTATTGCAGTATGTGCTTACAATACATTTACATTACATTCACATTTTAGAATTTGATTTGTTTAGCAGACGCTTCTCCAAAGCTGCGTATAATTTAATGTTGTGATAATGCGCTATACAATAATAAATTTGTTGTTGTTTGTTTGTTGTATATATTTTTTCGAGAAAGCACGGTCAGGAGAAGCAGAGCTGCCCTTGGCATCATACACTCAATGAGCTATTTTGCATATCTTTTGATATATAGAGTACAGTGGTGGGTAGAGTACTGCATGTTTCTTATAGCCATGAAAAGCGCCAGACTAATCTGAGCCTTCTTTCCGTAGCTGTATATCTGTGATGACAACAGGAGAGCTAATGAGTACGACTTCAAGAAGGCCCTGGATCTGCTGGACTACATCGACAAGGTAGCGCTCTGACCGGGATCTCAGTCTCGGGCTTGTTTCCTCTGAGGAATTTTTTTGTTTATTTATGGGTAGCTTGTCAAGTAATTGTGATTAAATAGGAACGGGTGTGTGATTAATCTGCAATGCACCTCTGTATGTTCCACAGTAGATTTATACATGGAACATTGTCTTTATTGCAGGATGATGCAGTGGACATTCAGAGCCTGAAGTGTGAAATCTTCTGCAAGGCTCTGAAGAGGGACGAGTATGTCTTTGTTATCTAAATGGACTGTATAGATGTGTGGTTATTTACATGTCAGCCACATGTAAAAGAGGATGGAGGACAGTTCTGTTAGTACTACCCTCTAATCCTTTTTTGGCCCATTCTGCATAGCTGGTCCTCTGTTGACGGGGCTGATGACCCAGTAGAAGCAGCCAAAGACAGTATCTTTGTGAAGGTTCTGCAGAAGCTTATTCAGGAAGGTAAGGGCAGCTGTGCTAATTCATATGGGTTTTCCACAATTCTAAATTCTTTTGTGTTAATAAAAATAAGCTGTGCTTTAACAGTAATTTTTCCCTGTCTCCTCCAAGGTGTTCCTCTACAGGGTTATCTTCCTGACGTCCAAGATCTGCTTCAGGCTGAGGAGCTGGAGGGGTTGAGGTCCAAACCCTATTTTGAGTTCCTTCTGCGTGCAAACTATGAACATTATCTTCAGGTTCAAATGTAATATGACCCACGAAACATTTATCTGATCCTTCATTTATATGTTTTTTAAATTAAAATAGTTGAATAATAAAGAGCCCTATTTCTAAATGATTCTCCCCAGCCTGCTTTGTCACACCGAAACAATGTAGTTAAAAACGGTCTACTTGGAGCTAGAGGTGCACTGATCCGATATTCGGGATTGGTATCGGTACCAATTCATACTTAATTAGACAGATCAGGTATTGCCCATATGTAACAAATCCATGTCCGATACTTATTTAATTTTCAGCAGTCTCTAAAAAGATAGCTCCTATTTCGTGTTAAACATTTGTACAATCAATCTCACAACAGCTCTTTCCCATTTTAGATTTAGAATTTAAGCTGAACGCTAATGCTGCCAATCCGTTTTTTTTTTGCCACTTAATAGATATGTGTGCTGTGACTTCCACCTGCTGTGATGTCACATGCATTCACTTTGCAGTAGGAGGAGCATAAGAACATTCAATTAGAAGGGTAACGATCTGGAAGTATTTTATGTAATGGATGATTTGAGAGTCGCTATCTTGGGCTGTTTCGCACACTCGCTGCAGCTTGTGTTACACGAGGGGCTTCCAGGTTAGGCTCCGGACCCCCCGCGACCCAGAAGGATAACCGGGTTGGAAAATGAATGGATGGAATATTATATATACAGTCTTTGTCTTGAAAAGGGCACCAGGCACTATCTGACAGGGGGTGGGTTTCCTGAAAGCTCTGTAATGCTAAGTAGTTTGTAATGTTGCACTTAAGGTCAATTGTTAATTAGTAAGCATTTCCCGAAACTCTTCGTAACTAAAGCAGTTTGTTATCTCGTTCATAGATCTATGAGTGCTATGACCCATAGGTTATTTTCTGCATCATTCTGTATTTGAACTTTTGCCTGCTGTCCTGTCACACAGACACAGAGATCAGCCAAAGCAGATGACAAAAACACATTGACGCTCATTTAACAATGCTGACAACATAATATAATATAAAACTATGAAGTCGACTTGAAATTAACACAAAAGTGGCTCATTTTGTAGCGCCAGTACAGTATGTAATCTGAGTATGTATCAGGGTTGTGCAGCATTCAGTACTAACTTGAGAATGACCTTGAAAATCAAATTCAATCCATAAAACTTGTTGAAATTGCATGCAGAATTGCAACTCGACTCTGAATATAAGGAAAGAGAATTGAAATAGAATTGATTTCACATAAATTCATATACATACTGTAAGTGCAGCTTTAGCAATACTGCATAATATTTCAGTATGTATTACCCCTCAGTGCACTGTGCAGCTTCTGGCAGCTCTCTGCTTCTATGCCACTGGTGGATTCCTGCAGACCTACAGATGCATATGGCCTCAGCAAGGCTGCTGTGTCATGCATCTCTGCATGCCTTGATCAAATTTCTGTTGCACCATGCAGACAACTACATGCAATGTCCAGCAGGAGGGGATGCCGTGCATGACACTAAGATTAGTTTCTATGCCATTGCAGGCATACCTGGCATTGTGGGTGCAGTGAATGGAACCCTCAATTCTGCAGCGCCTTGAATCCCACCTGCACTTGCCGAAAAGGGTTCTTAGGCCTAAATATCCATGTGATATGCAACCATCATTGTCGCCAGGTGGCCTGGGGATCCGCATGATGCTTAAATCTGGTCCCGCTATGGAGTGAGTCAGATAGCAAAGGATGGTGTATTTGCTGGTGGCTGGTTATTGGGAGACAGCAGGCATCCTCTTAGCAAATACCTGCTGATTGCAGCATTGAATCCCCAAAATGTTCCTGTCATTGACAGTCTGTGCTTTTCTCAAGCGGAAGCTGGGGAGGAACCAACAAAGTACTACGTAAAGTTTGTTTGTTAATTCTGAAATAAGGAAGGGACTTGGGAAACACTTGCAGACCTCATTCATTCTTTACTTAGGTCGTTCTTTATTCGCTTTCTGGAAACCCACCCAGGAGCAGTAAAAGGAGAGCTTGTCTGCCTCAGGTCACTGAGAGTGACTCTCAGCCAAATGGGAAGCTCCAGAGTGCTCTATGGTCACTGCAGCTCCAGCAGCTCCTCTGACGGCCCTGCAGAGGCGACCCTGTGGAAGGAGTGAGGAGTGATCAGGAGGAAGAGGAGCTGCAGGTGAGGGTGACTCCTAAAATAGTCAGTTACTGATATCAGGAGACGTCGTTTTACTTGACAACTACAAAGGATATTGCTTGTAAATTAATAATCAAATTACTTTTTAAGATTTTAATTAATAAGTTAAATAAAAGTCTCAAAGATCCTGTTTCAGATAAGTTATCCAAAGATGAATGGATGAATTTAATAACATTTTATAACATTTTTTTCTTATCAATCCAAAGAGATCTTTAGATGGATACATTGAGTCAGACAAAAATCCAGAAGCAGCAATCAAAAGCCTGCAGGATTTTATTAGGTATATCTGGCTGGTATACAGTATGTTGGTGATACTTTATGATGTTCTGCTGTATTTAGGTTTTACTGTCACCAGCAATAAAAGAACACGACGGTTTTACCCAGTTTAGCTGCAGTTGGTAGGTGTTCTGACCGCAGCGTATATGACTGCATCATCGCGGCTCTCTGTGTTACTGACGTCACACCTGCAGTGTTTGTATTTAAATATTTAAGTATAAACAGTCTGATGTCTGAGTCTAAAGTTTTAGTTTTTAATTCTAAAACATTAAATTGGTCTTTGTATTTATGCATTCTGACCTACACAGATGCAGTGAAATAACAAGCAAAATTCACACTCACTGCCTGTCTGGCTGTTCGGTGCTAAACTGCACAGAAGCATAACAGACTTCCTCCATCTGAGAAGAGACTTCCTGTCTCTGGTTCCTGTTCTGAGAAACAGACTCTGTAATGTTTGTATACTCATTATCTTCTGGAATCTAGAGATGGAGAAAGACAAAGAGAGATTTTAATGTCCAGTTAAAACAGGCATTTTATAATTAATTATTTTGAAGTGAGAAAAAATCCATATTCGTTCATCAGATCCATCCATCCATCCATCCATCATCTGCCGCTTGTCCGGGGTTCGGGTCGCGGGGGCAGCAGCTTCTGGGGAGGCACCCAGACCTCCCTCTCCCCAGCTACCTCTACCAGCTCCTCGGGGGGGACACCGAGGCGTTCCCAGGCCAGCCGAGAGATATAATCCCTCCAGCGAGTCCTGGGTCTGCCCCGGGGCCTCCTCCCTGTAGGACATGCATGGAAAACCTCTCCGGGTAGCCGCCCAGGAGGCATCCGCACCAGGTGTCCAAACCACCTCAACTGGCCCCTTTCGACGTGGAGAAGCAACGGTTCTACTCTGAGGCCCTCCCGGATATCCGAACTTCTCACCCTATCCCTATGGGAGAGCCCAGACACCCTGCGGAGAAACCTCATTTCGGCCGCTTGTATTCGCGATCTCGTTCTTTTGGTCATTACCCATAGCTCATGACCATAGGTGAGGGTAGGGACAAAGATGGACCAATAGATCGAGAGCTTGGCTTTTTGGCTCAGTTCTTTCTTAGCCACGACGGACCGGTTAAGCGCCTGCAGAACTGCAGACGCCGCTCCGATTCGCCTATCCAGCTCCCAATCTCACCTACCCTCACTCGTGAACAAGACCCCGAGATACTTAAACTCCTCCACTTGAGGCAGTACGTCTTCCCCAACCCGAAGAGGGCAAACCACCCGTTTCCGGCT